AAGTGGGCAGGAGCTGAACTGAGCTGAGCTGACTGAGCTGAGCTCACCCCGTCACATGGAACTCAGGTCTCGAACCGGGGCAGCTGGCTTTCCTCCCGACAAGCCCAGTGTCTTAACTGCTGATCCACCGCTCTGCATCTCTTACCATATAAAAGCTATTTTAAAATCAAAGTGCTATGTGCAATTATTCCAAAACATTTGACTGATAAATCAAGTTTGAAATGGTCTTTCAAGCACAGACATTTCTTTAGGCACTGAAAGAGATCTGAGATCTCTGTACCTTAGAGTAACTTTAATAGACTCAAAGCATTTTGGCACACACTTTGGTCAATTTTGTTGACTCTGCCGTCATGACCAACAGGAATCATTCAGAATTTGTCTTGATTAATAATAATTAGCAAATTTTGGAAAAATTGAACATTTTGGTTTTCACAGTTCTGATGCTGAAGAACTCAACCCCAAATAGAATTAAAACCCAAAGTGTCCCTCTATTGTCAGATGAAAAGCAAAGCCTCTCACTTCAGGATTTTATTTTGATAGATGGTTTCCCAACCAGTGGTGGGGTATTGTTAGTCTTTATTTGTCATACGAATAGAGGAGAAACCTCTCTCCAGTCAACAGTTTGCAGAATTGTACAAAATGTTCATTAAATATAAAACAGCTTTTACTGAGAGTACATCCATTTCACATGCTCTCACACTCTTTATATATTAAATTAATATTTCAACTATACAATATTTACAGTTAGGAAAAATATCATTTATGATGATTAAAAAATAATAGTCCCATAAATAATGGTATAAACCACATATGTTCTTACCATAAGGAATTTGGCAAGAATCACTGAATCAGCTGTAAAACACCCATCTACCTTTCTAACAGATTAGGTTTTCTTGCTTCCAGTTGGAAGGCTGTCTGATCAACTGGGTCCCTGGTTAAAGAACAAGCTGACATGCTTACAGGCCAGTATTAACCAAGGTCAAACTGTACATTTGGAACGATTAGAGGATCAAAATGATGATGGAGAATGCTGGGCCTCACGTGTCAGTCCTCTACATAACTCTGAGGACAGCCTGGAGACAGGAGGTGCAAGAGGAGGATTCTGGCTCCCTGTGGCCCTTCCGGTATGGCGAGCCGAGTTTGGGAGATCTTAGCCTGCTTCAGTTCTTCTTGTGTGGCCTTCTGAGGTTGAAGGCTCTTCCTTCCCCTTCTAGACCACCTATGAGCTTCTGAGCATTTGGGGACTCCTCCTGGCTTCAAGATCAGCAGCTTCATCCAATTCTGAGGATGACCTTGGATGTGTGGTGGACGGATGAAGAAGGGCAGGTTGTGGTCAGCCTTTTCTTTTACTGGTCTGCTTCTGAGAATTTGGAGCCCCAAGCTGCCATTTCACTCAGGGGACCAGAGGGTATCTACAGATGGATTAACTGGTGTGGTCAGTGTTCTCTGCTGAATTATTTGCAGAGAACACATTTACTGTTAAAAAGTAGCGTTTCCTCCATTAGTGTCCCCCCCAAAAAAACAGGTCTTGGCAGCATCTAAGAGGAAGTACAGAAAGGAAGGTCCTGGCAGGTTATGAGACTGGCTGAATGGAGAAGGAGGGGATGAAATGATAGGGTGCCCTTGCTCAGGAGGACCCCCAAAAGACAGCACCTTCTCTTCCACAGAGGGATAGCATCAAGATCACGAGAAGTGCTAGTGCGCTTTATACTGTCTGGGTAAGGCCACATTTGGATTCCTGCCTCCAGTTCAGGTTACCATGATATAAAAAAAAATATTGAGACCCTAGAAACAGTGCAGAGAAGAGCTACAAAGATGATCAGGAGTCTGAACGCTAAATCATACAATGAACAGCTAAGAGACCTAGCTGTGTTTTGCCTAATGATGAGAAGGCACAGGGAAGACACGATCCTTGTCTTCCAATACTTGAAGAGCTGCCACTGGGAAGAGGGTGTCGATTTATTCTCCATAGCACCTGAGGGCAAGAAAGAAGTAATGGATGGAATCCTGTCAGAGGGAGAGCCAACTTGGAAATTAGGAGGAATTTCCTGACTATGAGACCGATCAATCAATGGAACACCTTGCCTCCCAGAGTTGTGGGTCCTCCATTGCTGAAGGTGTTCAAGAAAAGATTGGACAACCATTTTTCAGGGATGGTATAAGGATCCTGCCTTGGGCAAGGAGTTGGACTAGAAGACCCAAGGTCCCTTCCAGCCCTACAATTCTATGAATCTAGAGCAAAAACTGAGAAGTGAGCAAGCAGTTTCCCTCCAGATAAGTAAGCAAATGCTTGTTTGTCAGGATCCAAATCAGAGTCACTGTCAGAGGGGACTGCACCGGTTCTGGGGTCTTGTGGAGGGATAATTTCCCCCTCTTGGAATTGCATTGAGCAGGTAAGTTGGGAAGTTCCTCTCAATTCTTGTCCTTTAGGTCCAGCAAGAGGTCATTGGGGAGGGTTGTGGTTTGAAAATCTGGGGCCTATTCTGAAGATCTGCTAACTGAGCATGAGGTGAGTTATTGGCCGAGAGAGAAGAAGGGTGGCCTTTTCTCTACACAGAGTAATCGTCCTCTGCTCTTGGCAGGAGGCTGCAGCCTTCAGCATGTGAGCAGAGTGGAGCTGAATCGGGCTGGACTGGAAGGGAAAACACTATTTTTGTCAGAGTTTCTGCCATCCTAAAGATTTTCTGTACGTGATACAGCTAATGAAGGATAAGACAAGATTCTTTTAAGCCTTAGTGAACTGGGCCACAAGTGGCGTGTATCCTGATGTCTGTGCTTGGGACGAGGGGTTAGAAGCTTGCTTAGCAGATGGATGACTGCTTCCCAATGCGTCAGATCCCTAGCAAACTGGCTATTGAAAGGGAAGGAAGCAAGGCCTAGCTCTTTCGAAGCACTCTAGCTTAGCCTCAGCTTGATTTTTAGCAGAGGCAACCACCAGCACCAGGTGTTGTTGAAGCCTGAATAAGCTTATCAGGTTTAGAACGGAGGTTGTTTAGGGATACAAAAATGGCCACAACTGTGGAAGCTGCAAGTAGACAAAGCTCTCCCAGAGCCTTTGGGAGGGTCTCCAAAGAGTGATGATCCTTTCTATTCCCTCGAATATTTTGTGGCAACTAGGACTAGAACAAATCTTGTTGGCTAATATGGAAGGGGCAAGTGTTGTCTTTCTTCAACCTCCTTTGGAGAGAAGTTGAGTCTTCCTTTCTTCAGGTAACAAGCTCGTTCTTATATAAAGAAATATCTATACAAGAATCAGGATGTGATGGGAAGGAGAGCATGTTTTGCTGTTTTCCTGCCTTGTTTCCACATCTTTTTCATACACTGCTGAATGCTCTCTGGCTATTTCTCAGACAATTCCTTCTTTGGTGGTCATTTCCGAAGTAATTGCTTTAATTGTTGGCTTGACTTGGCTTTCATCTCCTTTGTGGTGCAATTCTCCAAATGAGGCTTGTACTTGTGCTCCTCCTCGGGGTGAGTTTAACATGACACCCGTGCTGAAACTGGGAAGTGTGGAGTGGCCAGGCTGAAGAAAGCTGCCCATCTCCTTGCTGGCTCAAGCAGCCCAGATAATTCTGCAGTTCCAGTTTTCCTACTTCCCATCATAAGGAAGGAGGTCCTGAAACATTTGAGATGAATAAGATTGTAGACAGACATGCTAGCTTGCCTAATCTTTCTCTTTGCCAGCCGCAGCATTAAAGGCTGACTTCCATCCCCCAAAACAATGAGCATCAAATGAAATGTGATCTACAAAACAGTAGAGATTCCCCTCAATTCCCTGGGATGACTTTAAGACCCAAAGATTTCACGTGGTTTAACAACCTGCAAGCCCTGATTCAGGTACTTAGACTGAAATTATGCTGAAGGAAAAAGAAGTGGGAAGTCTGGGAATTTCAACCTTGTCCTCCATTGTCTTGATTTTTAATCTTATAACTACTAGGGAATTCTTATTACCTGAAATATTAGACTCCTGGAAAAAAGAGTGTTCTCTCCACCTACAAGGTCTGGAATAATTTCAGTCCCTTTTGGCCTTCTACCACTGAAGAGACGGAATCCAGGATGAAAAGAGGCTAAGAGCATGTCGTGGGCACCATGTCCAAAATGCAAGCTCTGGCTCTTTTTCACACATGCTCCATGCCTGACAAGTGCAGTAGTAAAAACTTCTCACCCACTGAAGTGCCTCTGACACACGCAGCTCTCCTTTCCTTTCTCCAAGACCACTTCATGCTTAAACATGAGAACAGCTTGCCATATTTGACTCCATTCCACCCACACCCTCTGCTACTCCCTGGTTCTTCCCAGGGATTGCCCTGCACAGGTACACCTACCTGCTAAGGAAACAATGGTTGCAATTAAAAAGCCGCAAGGAGGTATTTTGTGCTGAGGTGGGCCCTAATACTGCTTCCCCAATTCCCAATCCTCTCAAACCAGATTGGGTTATTTTTCAAAGGTTGCAGGAAAGTGGCTTGGACATATCCAGTCCTTAGTCTAGATTTGGGATGGTAGTTCTTGAACCTGAAACCTGGTTCAATAAGCACCATGTCTGCTACATCTGAGGACAGCCCTCAACGAAGCAGTCTAATCCTTTAAAGGGGTTTCAAAGTTCGCTTTCCCTGACTTAGGTGGATTGATAGACTTCTCAGACCATATTATCTAATATCTTGTCCTCACAATAACCAGAGACAAACTGAGAACCCCAAAGCAGGCAGGAGCTCAGGAGCTCCTTCACAATTGTGTCTTTTAGTAAACAGTGTTCAAAGAATTCTTCTAACCCTGGAGATAATTTATGGAGAAGTAACCACTAGTATAAAGCTTAACCTCTGGATCATGTTGCTGAATCATAAAACAGGAACGGTAGGGAGACTTGGATCTCATATTCCTTGAAACGAAGAAGCAAAGGGAAATTAAAGGGTGGAAGGTGCATTCCAGGAAGCAAAGGCTCAGTTCCAACATTGTGCTCCAAAAAGATTCCAACTTGAAGTCTACCCATCTGGTGGCATCCTTCAGATCTTGGTTTCTGGTCCACAGGGATTGAACACTGGGAAAGAATCGCGAATCCTGGCCAGCTCCATAGCACAGAGATGGCCAAAGACCTTGTTGTACCACTCTGGAGACCTCCCTCTAGAAGTGCAAAAAGCAGGGAATTAGCAACAGAATAACAGAGATGGAAAAGGTCTTGGAGGTCTTCTAGTCCAACCCATGTCAAGCAGGAGACCCTATACCATTTCAGACAAATGGCTGTCCAATCTCTTCTTAAAAGCCTCCAGTGATGGAGCACACAAACGTTTTGAAAGCAAGCCGTTCCACTAATTAATTTTTCTAACTGTGAGGAAATTTCTCCTTAATTCTAGTTTGCTTCTCTCCTTGATTTGTTTCCATCCGTTGCTTCTTCTCCTGCCTTCAGGTGCTTTGGAGAATAGCTTGACCCCCTCTTCCTCGTGGCAACCCCTGAGGTATTGGAACACTGCTATTCTGTCTCGTCCTTCTTTTCACTTGACTAGACTTACCCAATTCCTGCAACTGTTCTTCATGTTTTAGGCTCTAGCCCTCTAATCATCTTTGTTGCTTTTCTCTGCACTCCTTCTAGAGTCTCAACACTCAGGCCAAGAGCTCCCTTTGTGCAACCATAAATGGAATCCAGAATCCAAACAAACTCAATCATCTGGAACCTCAGAAGCAATCTGGGGTGGGAGGAGGTGAGGTTGGGTTTTATCCTTTACAGCACAAGCAGAAACAAAATACTGAAAGAGGAAATCCAAGCTTACCACAATTCAGTTAAGTTGCAAAATCCTGGCCTTGCTTTGAATATTTGTGCACAGCAAGATTTTCACATATTTCAAGATTTGATTGAAAAGCAACAGATTTAGTTGAAGGAATTTTCTCTCTCTGTGGTGGAAACAATATTCCCCAATCTGTTGCTCTCAACACTCAACTTCAATAATAGCTAGCCAGTGTAGGAATTACGGCAGTGTAACCAGCACATCTGGACAGCAGCAGCCTGGAGAAGTCCTGTTAGACCTACAGTGATATTCCCACCCTTTGGACTGAGAAATTCTCTTGTCATGGCTAAGAAATTGGAACGGTCTTGGCTTGTTGTGTTGCTGAAGGCCAAACCCTTTTATGGGGGTAGAGGTCAAAGGGATGCCCACCTCCCTGCCATTAAACGTAGGACAGCTGGCTTGAATTCTTACCGGAGATCAGTTTGGCAGATGTGTGTCACCTTGGAGTGTCCTGTTCCGCAAGGCTCCATCAGGTACTGGGAGGTGAGCACCGTGGCCCTGACTCCAAATTCCAGTGGCAACTTTTGATGCTCCAAAGAGAAGGAGACCAGGAGGCAACCCCCACGGGGTAAGTCTGTCTGCCATGACCTAGAAAAGTGATCTTGGCTCAGGTATGTCTAAAGTCGTCTGCTCCTTCCCGTCTCCAGAGGCTACCTAATCAAGCAACTGATGGGAGAGCTGTTGGGATCCTCGGGGCAAGAACAGGCCCTGGGTAGAAGCCAGGTGGCTGGCTTTAGACTCAGAGGACAGACAGAACCCGAGAAAGGCTAGAATTATTGCAAGCACTAAATTTATTTGAAAGTCAAGTACAATGTTAGGAGTCTTTGCTCCAGTCTGGATATTAAAGAGTCACCTTTCCAACTGACACTGAAGCTCTGATTCTAACTTTCAATCAACCTGGCTAGAGCATGGTCACCACTTATCGCTGGGTGCAATTCTGAACTGATAGGGAAAAAAGAAGGGCTTTGTTTCCAGAGAGAAACAGACTTAAGTAGCAAATTAAAAAACTAAGTGGGCAGATGAGAGCTGGGACACCATGTGAGGAGCCCAAACTATGTGGAGCTGCCAGAGAGAGAAGGAGGAGCCTAGGACTGTATCTCACAGCCACTTCTAATTGCTACAGTCCAAAATCGAGATAAGTGGCATGCAGGAAATGTTGCATGAGGCAGCAAAGGAAGGCTACACGACGAAGGCCAGGAACGCTCCGCTGCTTCCCAAAGGCTGAGGGCTTCAGCAAAATGGCCTCCTCAACTCCAGCTAAAAAGATCTAGGCAAAGGATTAGTGCAGAAAGCGACGGGATCAGAGAGCCGGAGATGGGACACCATGTTTGTTTATGGAGATTTCCTCTCTAGAGTTCCTCACCTGAGAACCACAAAGTCCCGCCGTGGGTGCGGAGCCATGCTGTCGGTCACATAATGGTATACTTCGGTGTTCTTGTCCAGAGCCTCCACCACATGGCCCTGCAGCAGGTCCTCGTCCCAAAAGTGCCGCTCCCTGAGAATCCGCTTGAGCACCAGGTGAGGGGATGCGGCCACTTCGGTGGAGACCTTCCAGAGCCGCAGGGGATGCCCATCCTCCACCTGCATATTACAAAGACGTTATTGCTTAGGGCCAGGTCGTGCCCAGGTGGCAGAGTCTCCCCATCATCCATTCCCTGAAGGCCACCATCCTTCATGCTACATCCCTTAGAAGGAGGGCCTTCTCTACCATTGCCCCAACCTTTGTAACATCTGGCCCCAGAGGTGAGGCAGCCCCCACCTTCAGCCTTCTAGAAGTGTGTTAAGACTGGCTCTGCCAATGAGCAGGGGGCAGCTGGGGGCTTGAGGGTCTCCTCTGCCTTGTCGCCCTTACAGCATTTTTAACTCTGAATTTCAGTTTTACCTTGTGAGCTTTAACTTCTTGTTTTAATTCCATTTTATATTTTTATTATGTTGTTGTAAACCACCCAGCATAGACAGTAAGTAAGTAAGTAAGTAAGTAAGTAAGTAAGTAAGTAAGTAAGTAAGTAAGAAAGAAAGAAAGAAAGAAAGAAAGAAAGAAAGAAAGAAAGAAAGAAAGAAAGAAAGAAAGAAAGATCCCTATAAAGATTTCTAGACTCGAAACAATGTCCAGCTCTTGATTAGAAAGAGGGAACTTTCATTTTCTCTGCATTTCTCTACCATTCCAGAAACAAGACATCTTTTGGTCCATCTTTTCTTGTTACACATTGAGGGTCTGTTAGATAAGATACCAAGTTTGGAAATAAATGAATACACATATGCCCACATCAGGCATCTACCAAGCCAATCTCTGCATTTACTTACTCCAAGAACTGGGTTCCTCTTAATTGGGAACTACAAACAGAGAATGCCCGTGTCTACCAACTTTACGAAGCCCCCACCATCCCAGCAAGGGCCTGCGTGTGTCCTGCAGGTTCTAGGCAGCTGGGGCAAAGAGGGCCTCCTGGCACAAGTTATTTCACCCTCTTGACTCCACCTGGACTGGGATGGAGCACCTGTGCGTGAAGGTGGAGCATCCTGATTTACAGTCCTTCCACCATACAGCCATTCGAATCCACCAGGCTGGGCTCAGCTCAGACATGGAGGCCCACCATGAGCAGCTGGCTCTAGAGTTACTGGACGAATCACTGCCTGAGGACAGTTGGGGGCCTGTCCTCCAGAGGAAGAGCTGCTGTCAGCCTCAGAAGATGAGATGTCCAAGCTGCTGCCTCCCCCGGCACAAGGGCTGGCCGCACAGAGAAGAGAGCAGAGCAAAGGGCTCTGCCGGGATCCTCGTGAGAAAGGAGCCCTCCTCAGAGGAGCAATGCTGCTCCTGCCTCTCCTTAAGCAGAGCGGCAGACCTGAGCCTCTCTGCTGGAAAGAGCCATGCGCCAACCCAGACTCTTGACTTCTGAATCCTGCGCTTTCACTCCCAGGCAAGCCAATGAAGCTTCTGGGGTGTGCTGACCCTCAGACCTCCCCTGGCCCCTCTTTGGCTGCTGCTTTGGACTTGGAGATCTGGGGTCTCTGGTAAGGCAGTCTTGTGAGGACCTGTTTCCCTTTTGTAGGTTGTGCTGATGCTCTCCCTGTCACTGAGAACTTGTCTCAAAAAGACCAACAGTGAAGGTTTCAATCGCCTCTTGTGTGGGTTTGTGAGTGTTTGGCCTGGGACAGGACAAAGGCGGATTCAGCCTATGTGAATACTCAGAACACGTTGGCTGCCCTGGGCCAGATTGTTTGAGGGTGCCACCTCCTGCAGTGTGAAGGCTGGCATTTTTAGAATGATTTGGAAGGAGAAGGCGGCACTGGCACCCCTCAGCTTTGGCACCCTGGGCCAGTGTGTGTACTCAGCCTCAGCTGCTGCTGGGAGCATCCTCCCTTTCAGTGAGGGTTGCGTTTTCTGCTGTCCCCCAGCCCCACTTCAGTTGGGGTGCAGGGAAACCCCTCTTTCTTCTCTTTTACAATGGCAACGAGGAAGGGGATGGTCAAGAAGGAATTTTCCACTGCGGCCGAAACCAAGAGCCAAAGAAGATGTTGGCCTTGGCATTAAAAGTTACCAAAAGATGCATTTTTGCCTACCAATGAATGATGAAATAACAGGAAATCATTCTAAGACAGACACACAATTATCCTGGATGGCTACCTTGAAACATAGTCTAATGGTGGCCCAGGGGCCACATCAGACGTTCCGAGAGCAGCTCTAAGGCTTCCCTTGGCCCCTCTTACCTTCTTGCATGAGAGCTCCGTGTGGGGGGGGGCAAGCATGCTGGTCCAGCCTTTGAAGCGTTCGGATGACTCCTTCAGCAGGCCTCGAATGCTGGCCTCCAAGACTGGGTGGGAATCCTGGATTTCTCTTTCCAGGTTTTGCTTCCTCAGCTCCGGTAAGGAGAGTGGCTGAGCATCAGCCAGCAGGTAGGAGTTGCTGAGCTGCAGTATCATATCATGGGGAATCTGGAGAAAGGAAGAGGATCCTTTGAGTGGCTCTGCCACTGAGGACGAACCTCTGCTTGCACCCAACAGCAGAACTCTCCCTGTCCAGACAGACTCTTCCGGTGCTCCCTATTTTTGCTAGAGGATGGGGATGGTGGATGCTGGGAAAAGTGGAAGGAAAGAGAAGAGGACGATCAGCAGCAAGAGGGCGGGATTCCGTTACGTTGGCATCGGGGACACCATTGGAAGACTTGAAGGACCAAGCTAGGGATAGATCGTTTTGGAGAAAATACACATTTGTGATTGCTAAGAGATGACAACTTGACAGAATGTGTTTGATTACATAAAGCTCTTTATGTTGATTTGCTATCTTAATTATACTCTTATTTTGTATGGTTCTGGTTTTCTTTTAATTTTACTGTAAACCATTCTACAAACTGAAGTTGAAAGCAGTAGAAAAGTGTATTTGAAATAGTAATAACCTAAAAATCACCTGAGACAATCTGGAACCCTCCTTGCAACATCCAGAACTCCTTTTAGGCCCTACTTATATCAGCCCTTTAACGTGGAGCAGAGAAGAAATCCAACCAATCATATTATAGATCAATACTACTTTTATTGTATAGCTTTAGTAGCAGAATCTTTCAAGCGGGAAAGCACTCGCCCCTCCCTCCCATTATCTGTGTGAGAACTTGGGGCAAGCTCAGTCCTCTTTATCTGACCACTCCCCTTGGCAGGGACTCTTCCTCCTGCCCCGCAAGGTCAAGGCTGCTGCAGCTGGCTGGAATGCTGGGAGCTCCAGGCCCCCCTCCTGCGCGAAAGAGCAACGAAAGGCTGTGGTACCTGGAACAGCTTCTTGCAGTTGGCAATCATGTGGGAGAGGCCTTGGGTGGCAGCCATGTTTTCATTCAGGTCTTTCTGCTCTGGTTTCCCCACAGTGCCCCTCCTGTGAACTGACCTGTCAGGTGGACAAAGAGAAGTCAGCATCGCCTGCGCTCCTGCCCCGGCCCTTCTAGCCACAGGCGGCAACGAGGGCAGCTCAGGGGAAGCTCTCTTCTTCCAGGTTTGGCCCCGAGGCCTGACAAGGCGAGGATGGCACCTCCACCAGTGTCACAAGCAGATGGGACCTGCGTCAATGCCTACCACCACTTTTTAATCTTATTCTTCCAGGATTCTAAGTGTTTTACCTAAGAAAAAGTCTGATAACCCCCATTAACTTATAACTATGATAAATGTCAGTTGGCCTCATTAAGATTGTGCAGTTATGGATTTCTGATTTTAATTCATATCAAAAATTATTAATACACATTCAGGCGGCCTTTCAACATAAGTCTCTCAAATAATATCTTTTCTTTTTCTCTCTCTTTTAGAAATATAAATATATATATATATATATATACACTGCAACAACGGAGAATGGGGTCTAGGACAACTTGCCATGGCCATTTCACCGTGGCCATCTTGCCTTGATCAACTTACCGTGGGATGACTTGCTGTGGGAAATCCACACGGGATAACTCAACACGATAAATGTTATCCGCCACTCTTTCTTCGACATTATTTCTATTTTTGTCAATAGAAATAATATCGAAGAAACAGTGGCGGATAATATTTATCACATTGATTTATCCTGCGTGGAATTGTCCCAGGGTGAGTTGGCTGCGGCAAAATGGCCGCAATGAGTTGGCTATGGTGAGTTATCCCATTCTGTGGAAAATGGCATGCAATAGCATGAATTTTACTTATTCGCTTTATAAACTGTTTCTTTTGATCGTACAGCCTCCAAAGACTGGTGCTGGGTGGATAATAGTAGAAAGTGAGGGTTTATTTTAAAATCATAGAGTAAGAGAGAATTGTAAATGTACTCGTATTTGCTGCAAAGGAAATGGAAAGCTTCCTTCCTTCCTTCCTTCCTTCCTTCCTTCCTTCCTTCCTTCTACAACTTTGATAAAAATCTACTTTAAAAAAAAAGACTAATGCCTTGCTGCAGTTCTGAAGTAGTGACTCTCTGCCATCTTGAAAGCGCCATCAGCCTGGGGTTTGAGCATCAGGTGACCAAGAGCAAAGAGATCTGACCTGCAGCTGGGAGATATCACCTCACCTTGGAGAAGTGCTCTCTTTCTTGGAGACATTGAGGTGAAAAATGGAGGGAGCTAAGCACACAGCCAGGTTTCCCACTGTCATCTGGTTCTCCTCGGAAGAGGCAACATCGCTGAGAAAATAGAGCAGCGTCTGCAAAACCTCCCGGTTCTCATCCGGCATTAACACGATGGCGGCTTGGACAGCTTGCAGCCTCTGCTCTTTGGGCACAACTGGAAAGTTCAAGAAAGAAACGTCAGTGTCTGAGCTGTGGGGGACTGAATACTAACAGCAGCAGGGACTCTGCCCCCTGTGTCAGCTCTGCAGGGGAAACAGAGGCCCGGCCCTACTCAGTCCTGCTCTGCTCTTCAGATCAGGACTTCCCATCCCTCCCTATGAGAAGACATTCCATTTCTGCTTCTGGTTTCTGAGACTGGGCCCAGCTTACTGGCAGATCTTTCATCCTACTGAGTATAGCTTAAAAATAAAAAAGCTGTTTCCAATTCTTAATATTAATTAATTAATTCAGTACTTTATTGATTAGCCCTTGTGCCATATCAAGGCGCAGAGTTCCAAACACATGTTTATACTAAAATGCAGTAAAAACAATTTAAAATGGAATTGGTTAAAATACAATTTAAAATAAAACAGAAATAAAATACAATTTAACCAATTCTTAACACATTTTGATGAGATACAAGCCAGAGCCCAGCCAGAGCCTTTTGGCCCTACGATTAACAATCGTGGTCCAGCTGCATATATCTAGGTGTGAGGTGTGTGTGCCCATAGAAGTAGGCCTACTCCCCCTTCATAATACCAAACACACACATGAAGTCCCTGAAAATGAAGGGAGCTTGCAGTGACAAGGTCAATAGGGCTGGAGTCTGACAACTGTGGAAGAAACCACCAATCATCTAGAACAGGGCTTTTCAACCGGTGGTACGCGTACCACTGGTGGTACGCGACCACCTGGCTGGTGGTACGCGGCATTGCCTTCCTCCTCCCTCCTCCGCTCCTTCCTAGCTCACTTGTTTGTGGAAAACATGCTGCTTGGCGGCAGTCTGCACAAATCCTACTGAACATGCCCTGCAGGGGAGGCGTGAAGAGCGCAGGTGCAGAGCAAGGCCCCGCCCTCCCCAGGGACTCATTGTGCAGCAACCGGATTGACTTCTTCTGGCGCACGCAGGTCAGCGGGATCTGTATTGCCCTTCCCCTCCCTCTTCTTACTGACGCGCACTAGGCAAAGCCAACAGAGGGAGGGAGAAATGCGCCCACCTGACTCTCCCCCCCCACACACTGTTTCGCAGCATTTAACCCTTCCCCCATTTCCACCACGGCCGGCCTGCCCGCCCGCCCGCCAGGTTGAAAAGCCCTGGCTTAAAGTCTGAAACAGCCGGGCTCTTGGCTGACTGATTGCCTTTCTCCCCCCCCCCATCTTTTCTACAAACCGGGAATCGTGGCTTAGTGGGGGCCTGGAGTGGGTCTTGGGATGCCCGTGCGCCCCTTGGATCAGACAAGCGAGCGGGGCTGATCTCTTCCTGCTAGGGAAAGCTGGAGAAGCTAGGAGAAAGTCAATTATAAGAGGGGGGGGAGTCACTTCTTCATTTAAGGCAGTTTTGGAAAAGTAACTTTTGCTGGAAAGGAAAGCAGGGTTTTTTCCCCCCTTTTCTTGGATCGCCTTCTTTGCTTGGCCCTCTGTTGCCTGTATCGCAGGCTTAAAGTCTGAAACAGCCGGGCTCTTGGCTAACTTCGCCTTTCTTCCCCCCCCCCTCATCTTTTCGGGAGATGCGCCTTTGCAGCGGGTTTCCCCTTCCGTTAATTATCGGAGGTTTGAAAGGCAAGCTGCTCCCGGAGCGTAAAAGTAGAGGGCTCTCCGACTCTCTGCTTCAGGGGGAAAATGTAGGGGGAAAATGACTGGGAGAAGTAGCCGGTTCGTAACGTACGTGCCTGAAAACGGGAGGTGAACCGGCCACATCCCCGCCCTGCCTGTGCGCTCTCCTCTGCCTGTGCGCGCACAGGCAGGACCGTGATGTGTTGCTGCCTGCCAAAAACAGGCTGCGGTCTGGGCGGCGTAGCACAGGACGAAGGAACCAGGAAGGAAGGAAAGGATGGATGGAAGGAAGGAAGGGACAATGGGAGCTGCATCGCTGCAGCCTTCCAGTCCCGTGAGCGTCTTTCGGCTGTGCTCCAGGCCTCGCATTCATCAGCTGTTCAGCGGCCGAGAGACAGAGCCTTTCAGCTTCAGGCCGCTTCATCGGCCCTTGCCTCCCTGCCTCGGCCTCCCGCCCATCAGCTGTTCGGCGGCTAAGAGTAGGAGCCACTCAGCTGTTGGTCGGGACGCATCCACGCTGCCAGGTAGAACAGTGCTGGCCGCTGGTCTCCTTTGCCACCCCGCATGTCGTCCTGGACCCCTCCCCCGCCCGTTCATGTCGAGCCCGCGGGGGCTTGACAGGGAGAGAGGGAGGGAAGGAAGGAGGAAGGGACAAAGGGAGATGAAGGAAAGGAAGGAAGGAAGGGACAATGGGAGAGAGGGAGGGAAGGAAGGAAGGCACCCGCTCCAGTCTCATCCCCCTCCACCAGAGACCCACGGATTCCACCCCCCACAGGCACCCTGCAACCTGAGTGATCAGCTGGCCACGCCCCCCGCCATTAATCACATGACCCTGGGACACTGTGAACTTCGTAAGTATGAATCAGTTGCCAAGCATCCGAATGTAAATCACAAGACCCTGGGGATGCTGCAACAGTCATAAGTGTGAAAAATGGTCATAATTCGCTTGTAACTTCAAACAGTCACTAAGCGAATTGTTGTAAGTCGAGGACTACCTGTACTTTCTCATTTTTTCCTTTTTTTGGTCAAGTTTTTGATACCTTGCTGGGCGAGTGGTGGTACTTGGATATTGCCTTATCCGAAAAGTGGTACAATGGGTGAAAAGGTTGAAAAGCCCTGATCTAGAACAGGGGTCCCCAACCCCTGGTCCAAGGCCTGTTGGGAACTGGGCTGGGCAAGCAGTGGGCAAGTGCACAAAGCTTCATTTGCGCATGTACAGGATTTAGATTACATGCTCAACCCCCCCCCCCACTGCAGCCACTGTCCCCACAGCCGCTGGCAGTCCATGGAGCCAGAAAGATTGGGGACCACTGATCTAGAAGCTTCCTGGGAAGTGGAGAAAACTGTTCAATGAGACATCTTTGTCTGTGTAGGAGAAGAGCTGGGGAGGGGTGGAGTTAAATCATCTTCAGTTCAGAGTCCTTGCAGTCCCACTCCCAAGTCCAACCCCTCCTGAATTCCACTGACCCTTATCTGGCATGGAACTTTAGTGCTAAACTTTAGCTGACTAGGTTCTTGTGTATAGGCTTAAAGAAATCTTCTATGCTGCAACCTTATGAATGGTCCTGATTCTTTGCACCTGACAATCTGCAACCACTCAGCAGTTGATTAGGAGATTCCTAATGTCTATTTGGGGGAGAGGAGGCGGCAGTGGCACTTGCACTGGGCTGCACAAGCGGTCTCTTAAAACTATACGAAGTTACTATCACGTGGATGGTCAAAGGCTGTCATGGGCATTCACACAAATAGAAACAGTCCTGGTCAAGCACCATCATCGGATATCCATGGGGGGAAGAAAGCAGCACCAGAACCAGCAATATAGTTCTATGAATCAGAGTCCTAGCTGCAAAAAATACATAGGACACGCTGTTGCTGTGGACAGTCCCTACAAGATATGGAACAACCTTTTAGCCAATCTTATTTGTCCATAGACATACTGACTCTAGCCCAATAGATGGTCAGCTAAAGTTCCATAACCATGGCCCTCCTCCTCCTCCTCCTCCTCCTCCTCCTCCTCCACCCTACTCACACTGGTATATCTGCAGAAATGTATCTGTCAGCTTGCTGGTGAAGACAGGCTCTGGGAGATCACGGAAGTACTGCTTCAACAGGTCAGCCACATCATAGGCTGATTGCCCTTCATAATTCACATAATCAGGAGAGGCTTCACTCCTTTGTCTGAGGACCTGGATCCGGGACTTTACACCAGATTTGCGAAAAATGCCAACCTGTGCAGGAAAGAGATATCAGGTAGGTGTACAGTCTCCAAGGTCCCTTCCAACTCTGTTATTCTGTCCTGTTCTGCTGAAGTCTGGTCTGGTCTGGTCTAGCACTATAGCAGATCCTTTATATGACTGCATAGGTCTTCCAAGGCCAACTGAAGCTCCCAGCTGCCATTTTTATTCTAGTCTCATATGTTTCAGACACCTTATTCAGAACAAAGCAACTATGTTGGCCACTGGTAGGAAAAAAATGTGAAACTCTAGACAGAGAAAATATATTAGTTAGGTCAAGAGAAAGTGATAGCTTGAGCTATATGTGAAGGAGGAACACAGAGTTACCTGCAAAAGTTTAGGCATCTCTGGTCAACCTGAATGGGTCAGTCATCCCCACATGCAGAGAAGGGGACCAAACCTCTGTAGGGCACAAACTTAAATAGCTTTTTTACACAGAGAAATGCTTCACATTTTACAACCTGATGTCCCTCACCCCTTTTGGATTGCAGCAACCATTAGTCAATGTGGCTGCAGGCAGGAACTCTGGAATTCCTCCTTCAAAATACGTGCATGAGGCTGTGGCTGCTTTAGAGCAGTGACTCATGACTGGTCCTCACACCCACGACCACTGCGATCCCCCCTTGCAACCCTCTGACAGGCAAAGTCAAAGGGAAGCCAGGTTCGCTCAACAACCGCATCACCAACCCAACAACTGCAGCAACCCACCCAACAACGGTGACAAGAAAGGTCGCAAAACGGGGCAAAAGCCACCTAGCAACTGTCTCACTTTGCAACAAAAATCTTGGTCTCAGTTGTGATCACCGGCTAAAAAGAAAGACCTTACGAAAAAAGAAACGCCAAGGAAATTAGAAATGAGTCCCATCCGGGGGGGGGGGGGGAAATCACACGTATATCAACAACTACAAAGACCCGTATTTCTTCTGCCTTCTGCTGTCTTTCCATCTCCCCATTTAACAATGCTAGCAAAATTAGTTTTCAGATAGGATCACCCATAAATCTCAGATGATCCAGACCACGCATCAGCAGCAAGTCTCGGCTCTGTTCTCCCACCCGCCTCTTCTCCTCTACCGTGTGGGAGCCTGTGCCCCATTATCTCAGGATTAGGCCTTCCTCTGTTTCCTTATGTCTTCCTTCCCACCTGGGTTGTCTTAGGCTCAGTGAGAAATGAGTGTGTGAGTGTGTGTGTGTGTGTGTGTGTGTGTGTGTGTGTGTGTGAATTTTTCCTCACCTGGTCCAGGCACCGGCTTCGGATATAGCGCATGGCCTGCTGGATGCTCTGGGGCAGGGGCTGCCCCGTCCTTTGGACACTGACAATCAAGGGGACTCCAAAGACCATCTTTCCCCTGTAGTTTGGGGGCTTGCTCCTCTTCATGAACTTGGGAACAGTCCTGTCGGAGAAGAGAGTGTGACTGCATAGGCCTGGCTGGGGAATTCTGAGAGCTGAAGTCCAGTTCTTAAAATTGCCAAGGTTGGACACCCTTGCTCTAGTGCTTAAAACATTTTCAATGTTATTTATCTTTTTAAATTTATTGCCCACCCAACTATTGCCCCATTTCTGCATAAATATGACCCAAAATATGATTTTTCCACATGTTTTAAAATGAAAGATATAGAACCCAGTTAAATAAATTGGTCAAAAACAAAATATGTTCATTTCTTTATTGAAAATTATCCAAAGCTACATATTTGTATGTGGCAAAAGTATGTGAACCTTTGCTTTCGGTAACTAAACATTTCTGATAAATGTTAACCAGTCCTTCACATTGGCTTGGAAAATTTTTAACTGATTCCTCCTTTATTTATTTTTTCATCAAATTTCTACACCACCCATCTCACTTAAGGAAATGAGTCCTGGAGAAGTCCTGTTTTGACAGGGCCACACAAGGTTCTCCACATCCAGCTGATGAAATAGAAAAATGATTGTCTCTAACCAAAAGAGCGCAATTGGGTCTCAAACAATTCTGGGGCTGTGTGGGGTTAAAATGCCCCTTTCCTAGTCCTTCGTTGTTAGGGTTTCCATGCCCACGTGACACACCAGCCCCTCATGCACCATGCGAACAGAGTTCAGTAATTCTCTGGGTCAAGATCTGAAAGAGTCAAATGACTTCTGTGCAACAACTGGAATATTCTGTGCTCTGCTCTAAAAAGGACATTAACCAACTGGAACCAGTTCAGAGAAGGGCTGCCAAAGTGGAAACCGCATTCTACCAGGAGTTGTTAAAAAGATCTAGGTCTGTTTAGTCTACAAATAGATAACTGAGAGGAGAGTCTGTAGAATCTTTAGAATAAGGAGTGAATTTACTGTATTTGCCCAGAGAACCAATAGTTGACACTATAGAGAAGTAGATTTACATATTATGAAGAATATATTAACAATAAACATCATGAGGTTGTCTCATGAGGTTATCTCATGAGATGGAGGGCTTCAAATCAAAGCTAGATCTGTCTAAAATTGTTCAGCAAATCCTGTTTCAAGGAAGGAGTCAGATCACAAAACCTCTGAGGTGCCTTCTAACTTGGCAATTCTATGAGCCACCTTGAACCACACAGAGGCCAAAATATATGGAACAGAAGCTCCCCCAGAGGGAGGACATGTCAATGCCATTGAGGTCCTGCTTTTCTTCAAGCCCCTCAAGATCCTCGTGTCCTCACGGACTTACCAGGCCCAGGACTGCTTGTGGGGAACGGAGAACTTCTCCACGATGGCTGTGAGGCGGAAAAGGGAGCACTTCTGGAGAAGGCTGAGCTGAGCTGCTGACTGGCAGCTGATCTCTAAGGAGGCCGAACTTAAGCTGGGCCGGTGGGAGTTCTGGAAACTGTGCCAGCGGAGTTTCCTGAGGTGGGACAAGGAGGAGAAAAGCAGTTGTTTGTTTATCTAATGAGCTGTTATATTTGCTTAGCAGTAGCACTTATCCTTATATACCGCTTCACAGTGCTTTAACGCCCTCTCTAAGACATTACAGAGTCAGCATCTTGCCCCCAATAATCTAGCTCCTCATTTTATGGACCTTAGGAGGATGGAAGGCTGAGTCAACCTTGAGCCGGATGGAACTGCTGAACTGCTGGATATAAAAGAGGGGGAGAGAAGAGAGGATATAAAAGGAGGAGGGGTGAGAAATTTGTTAAATGAGTTTTGCCCCATTTTATGACTTTTCTTGCCACAGTTGTTAAGTGAATCACTGCAGTAGTTAAATTAGTAACATGGTTGTTAAGTGAATCTGGTTTCCCCACTGACTTTGCTTGTCAGAAGGTCACAAAAGGGGATTACATAACCCTGGGACTATGTGACCGCCATAAATATGAATCAGTTGCGGAGATTTCCGGTGGGACGGCGCGCCGATGGCAGCTCTTTTCGGAGCTGTCCTCTTGGGAAGGCGTCAGAGCCAGCATGAACAGCGGTCAGCAGCTGTTCAGCGGCTTGGAACCTTGTGCCCCGGGAGAAGGGGTCGAGGTGAGTATTCCTGGATAGGAGTAGAGTCCCAAAAGCTCTCCCCTTTATTTTGGGAGAGCGGAATTG